GGAAAATAAAAGAACTGAGAAAACAAGATGCCAACGCTTTTAGCACTGTACCCACCATTTCTTGTTCTTGCCCGACTTTTTCCTCAGCTCTTTCTACTTTACCAACACATTTTTTCTCTCCCAGACCCCAATCTTGGATTTTTCTTCACCCATCTGATCTCTCCTTCCTCTCCACTCTTCTTCGCACGCTCTGGAGGTTTACTCCCTCTACCCACTGTCTCAATCCCTCCCATTTCAGTCTTTTTGCACTTGGTTTCTTCTCAGGGCGCGAATTTGCTTCTAAATGTGAGTAAATGTGTTTATTCCTATGAAGGGAGTGGTGAAGTTCCTCAAAGAAGTGATTTTGTTCTGAGAGAAGGTACCAGATGTCGCAGGGGAAGGCGACTATGGTGGATGATGGAGTGGAATACTCCTTCGCAATGGAGTATCATGGCCCACCTATCGCTCACGAGCTCCCACGAGCTGTACCAATCAATGTGGACATGATTCCGGTTGCTTCAGTTGTCTCACAGATACCCTTATCTCATAGATTTGGGTTGCCCGTCGTTCATCCTATTTCAGTGTCGGATGTGGCGAAAGGGTTTTCCAAGGAACTGAAGAGAAGCTCCAATTCCACTGTTTCCCCAACCTCTGTGATTTCCCTTGACAGGAGGAGTACCCGGTACGAGGATGAATCTGCCAGAAAAGAGTTAGCTTTAGGGTCTCAGACTAATCTGTCTCCATGCTCGGTCAATGATGTTATTGATGAGAGATTGCCAAGTAGTAGTGATTGCATTCCCAATGATGAATCTAGTAGTTCTAGTCGGGTGGAGGGGGAAGGCGAGTTTTCTGGTGCGATTAATATATTGACCGAGTTAGGGTCTTCGTCCTCAAGACAAGAGCATTCAGATGAGTTATTGGGCAGGGTGGGGAGTTCTGGTGACTTCAGATTCTCCAGCAGCTTCGAGATGTCCAGGGAATTTTCTGGAAGTTCTCAGAGAGTGAAGAGGTTTCCGACTTCTGGTAAAGGGAGTGAACCAGATTGGGCCTCTAATGGTTCGGTGATGAGTTTTGATTATCCATCTTCTCGAGTTTCTTCTTCTAAGTTTGAGGACAACAGTAATGAACATGGACAAGAACTAAAGCGAGGTTCAATTGTGACTTTTTGTAATATCAAGTCGGATGATGAAGATATTCGTGACGAATTTAGTGGTCCTGAACCAGAAGTGACAAGGCCTAAGAAGGAACCTCAAGTGAAGGTGAAGAAAGGAGTATGCTATAGGTGTTGTAAGGGAAACAGGTTTACTGAGAAGGAGGTCTGTATTGTGTGTGATGCAAAATATTGCAGTAGGTGTGTGCTTCGAGCAATGGGGTCTATGCCTGAGGGAAGGAAGTGTGTGACTTGCATTGGATACCCAATCGATGAGTCCAAGCGAGGAAATTTGGGCAAATGCTCCCGAATCCTAAAACGTCTGCTAAACGAATTGGAGATTCAACAGATTATGAAGACTGAAAAGTCATGTGAAGTGAATCAATTGCCACCCGAGTATGTGTGTGTGAATGGAAGGCCTCTTTGCCATGAAGAACTTGTTATACTGCAGAACTGTGCGAAGCCTCCCAAGAAACTTAATCCTGGAAACTATTGGTATGACAAAGTGTCTGGTCTCTGGGGAAAGGTAAATGCATTATCACCCGGCGAATAGTTTTTCTCCTCTTTCTTTCTGTTTTCATCATGAAAGTTTGTCCTGACTGTTGGTTTTTAAAGGATGGACAAAGACCTTCACAAATTATTAGCGCTCATCTAAATGTCGGGGGTCCTATAAAGGTGAATGCTAGTAATGGGAACACTCAAGTTCATATAAATGGCCGTGAGATTACAAAAGGGGAATTACGCATGTTACGGGTTAGTTTCTTTTAGACATGCGAAGGAAAAGTTTGAAATTTGATGCACTTGTCATTTTATGGTTGCTCCTTATACTTTGATTATCATAGTTAGCAGGAGTTCAATGTGCTGGCAACCCACACTTCTGGGTGAACGATGACGGTTCATACCAAGAGGAGGGACAAAAAAATACAAAAGGTTACATATGGGGCAAGGTAGGATAAGTTTTCAATGTCCTTTTTTTATCTTTCTTTCCTCTCCTGATCTCCTCTTAGATATTCATTCAGTAGTGTTCTCAACCGTGGGTATAAAAAAAAAGCTAATTAGGCATATCCCACTCTAATCCAAAATCTTAGGCTGGAATGAAGCTGGTGTATGCAGTGTTTTCACTTCCAATTCCTTCAAAGTCATCTTCTGTTTCTGGGGATCAAATGACGGACTCGCTCAATAGATCAGTACCTGGTTACCTGGAGCAAAGAACACTTCAAAAATTACTTCTTGTTGGATATAGTGGGTCTGGCACGAGTACTGTATTCAAGCAGGTAATTTTTCTAGTAGTTGAACTTTCACGGTTTCCCATTTCTTAGCGGACTTACTTTATTATCATTCTCTTTTTCTTAATTGGTGCCTTAAATTCTTGTTTGGCATAGGCAAAAATTCTTTACAATGATGTACCCTTCACTGATGATGAGTGCCAACACATAAAATCAGTGGTTCAGAGTAATGTCTACAGATACATTGCCATACTTCTTGAAGGACGCGAGCGTTTTGAGGAACAATATTTGAATGCACTGCCAATGAAACAACCATCAGATGAATCTGATCAAGCAGGTAATATTTTCTCGTTACTTGTTAGTGTTAAACTAATTGTGAGCAACTAATAAACAGTTTGACACCACAAATCGCGTACCCCCATCTCCTTGTTAGTTGAGACTTATGATTAATGTGATGATTGTTAATTAAGAGTTTTGTTTTGCCTTTTGTAAGTTGGGGGTTTGAGGCAAGCGAAGATCTATTTGCGTTGTGCATTGTTATTATTATATTCATTTATGTGTGCTAGTTTTTAAATGTGAGAAAAAAGTGAGAAATGGGGAAAAGGCTTCATTGGGTATTTGCTTCAAAGGTCCCATTGAAGTAAACTCTAAAAAGTCTGAGGATTGCAATGTCAAACTAATATGGACTGCCATTTAAGTTGGTCTGCCAATATAAACATGGAAAGCATCCAAATGATTATATAGGCGTGAACTTTGGCAGCATTGTGTCCCTAACTCATTTAAATTGTATGTTTTCCACTTTGCAACATCCAACATAAATTTTATTTTTTGGTTAACTACAGGGCAAAGTGGTGGAAATGACCGGAAAAATTTGTATTCCATTTCTGCTAGGCTGAGAGCATTTTCTGATTGGCTTCTCAAAATTATGGCTTCTGGTAACTTGGAAGCTGTCTTTCCAGCAGCTACACGAGAATATGCTCCATTAATTGAAGAGCTGTGGAATGATGCCGCCATCCAGGCTACATACAGACGGAGAAGTGAACTGGAAACGTTACCTGGTGCTGCAAATTATTTTCTTGAGCGGGTAAGACAATGATCACGGTCTGGGGAATATATTGTCCGCGAATGATGTTTTGTGTCACTGATATATGGGATGTTGAAGACATAAATTTAGAGGCTTAAGCTCTTTGTTTTTAGTGAGTTAGGGCCTTTGAAGGATGGGTACTCGTTTTTGGTTCAAGTACCCACAGTGGATTCTTTTTGGATACAGGTAGGCTCGGGGATGTACCCAAATCTTTTTTTTGGATGTATGGATAAGACTAACACTATGTTTGGTTCAAGGAATTTGAAATGGAAAAGAAAAGAAATTGAGAAGGCAAACAATTTTTCTTGTTTGGATAGAGAGGAAAAGAAAAGAAAAGTGGATGGAAAAGGAAATGAGAAGACAAAATCTATTAAGAGGAGGGAAATTCAAATTCCTACCATTTTTGGTGAGGAAAATGAGAGAAACCATTTTCTTCTCTTTTCCTTCCAAATTCCTTGAACCAAACATAGTGTAAGTATATTTCTTGGGTACATGAATTAGTCAAAACAACTTAGTTATAGAAATGTTTTCTTACTCTTTTTTTTCCTTTCCCCTTAGAAAACCATATCCCCTTCTTTAATTTCTTTCACTCAGAACCCTTTTAGTTGCTTCAGTGATATCACTTATTTTCCCGGGTTTAATAATATATGTGACCCAACAATCCACTATCTTTTAGTTTATGGTTCTGTTTGTTTGTTTTTTTTTGAATTTATTCATGCAACAATTTAGGCTTGGATCAACCCTTTTATTTTATACGTTACTATTAATGATTTCTTTGTCAAAGACCATATTGATCTAGTGGTATAAACCTGTAACCAGGTTTTTTTTGTGTTTCACTCCTCAATTTTCTCAGATGGATATTTTCTAATCCAACTTAAAAAAACATGATTTCTCTTCTTCAGGCTGTGGATATTTTGAAAGTGGATTACCAACCTTCAGATGTGGATATATTGTATGCTGAGGGTGTTACATCCTCCAACGGGCTCTCGTGCATGGATTTTTTATTCCCAGAGGCTGCGAATAACGACAGCATTGATAGTTGTATCCAGCCTGATTCCTTGCTCAGGTTCGTACATCCTTTCACCTGTTTTTGGCATACCCGCATTAACCCATACACTACTTTGTCCAATTACTTTTAATCATCTCATATTCATACCATTTTGCTTTTACTTCCGCTCAGATTCCAGCTGATCAGAGTACAGGCAAAAGGGTTTGGAGAAAACTGCAAGTGGATAGAGATGTTTGAGGATGTTCGGATAGTCATTTTCTGCGTGTCTTTGAGCGATTACGACCAATACCGTGTAGATGAGACAGGGGAGTTGGTGAACAAAATGGTATTGACCAAAAGGTTTTTCGAGAGCGTTGTCAGTCATCCAACATTTGACCAGATGAACTTCCTCGTGCTGCTAAATAAATTTGACTTGTTCAAGGAAAAGGTTGAGCGCGTGCCCTTAACCAAATGTGAATGGTTTGCAGATTTCCATCCGGTGATTAGCCGCCACGGTTCCAACCACTCCCCATCTTTGGGCCATCTTGCGTTCCACTATATCGCTGTCAAGTTCAAGAGGCTCTTTTCGGCTCTCACCGATAGAAAATTGTATGTTTCCATGGTAAGAGGTTTGGACCCAAAGAGTGTTGATGAATCCCTCAAGTATGCAAGGGAGATACTTAAGTGGGACGACGAGCGGCCGAATTTTAGCTTCAGCGAGTCGTCGTTCTACAGCACCGATGCAAGTTCCATCTCACCTTAATGATGGGTCTTGTTCCACATGCGGCTCTTGTACATATTTATATATCTATATACTCCCTCTGTCCGAATTTATTTGTCCATTTAAAAAAAAATCATTTTTCAAATGTCAAAAAAGTCTTTCAATTGAGTTCGTTACCCATTCATACTCTTATCTTCTGGATATTTACGAAAATTCATCTTAATTTCTTTATTGAATATGAAATGTGGATAATTGAATCAGGAGAAAGGGAGTATATATATACACTAAGATGGTTTACATTACATAAAAAAGAAAAGGAATGAATGAGAAGGAAAATAGGCCATGTCTCTATGTATTGTAATTAGCCTTGAAATTGACCACTTTTTGAACACAGGTAATGATTGACCCTGGTCTTCTTTAGGAAAATCAAAATGTATTAGTTTTAGTTGCTTTGTGCAGATGTAGATTTAATGATTTACTGCATTGACAGTTTGTTATATATTCCCTCTCCAAACAATTGTTTGTTGTCTACCAGGATTTGAATGAAGATATTTTTTAATTTAATTTATTTGAGAATTGGTAAAAAATTAAAAATAAAATTTATATATTTAAAAACTATATTAAAAGTTCCACATAACAAAATGGATTAGACTACATTAGTTTCCCAAATTGGTCGCGAAAATGGGTCAAGAACAATAGAACATGCTTAAAGTTTGATCTTCTTGTCATTCGTAGGAATCTTTTTGTAGCTCTAATTGCATCTAAATAGCTTCTTGTAGACTTTTGATTAGTTCATCCATTCCACCCGAAGGGAGTGTGAGGTGGCCACCTGCACAGGGCCCTGAATTTTTAGGACTCATTATTGTTACATATTTATTATTTTAATTACTTGATACTTTTAAATTTAATATAAATTTATTAAAAGTAGTTATTAAAAAAAGTAAATTTCTAAAATGGTATACAATAACTATGTGTTTTCCTAAAGTAGTCCCCAAGATGAACTAATTATCGAGATGGTTCTTGCTAATTGAAGATAAGGTCGTCAAAACAGCGTCAAAGCGGTATAAAAACTTATACTAATTTTCCAAATTGATCATGTATAATTGGATATTTTTTTAAATTATCTATTTTCGATGTAAAAACTCATTTAATATGAAAAACCGAAAAATGATTCTTCTTTTTGAATTGATTCACGGTGTTTGCGCGAAGTCGGAAAACCATTTTTATGAGATTTAATTTTGAAAATTAACTAATTTTGAAAAAAAATTTGATTAGAAAGGATTATTTTGGAAAATAAATATAAGTTTTAATGTCAGTAATTATTTCATCTTAGAGACTATTTTGGAAAAATACATAGTTATTGAGTACCATTTTGAGAACGTACTCTATTAAAAAGCAAATTTGGCACTAATTTTAAAACACTAAGTACTGTACAAAAAATAAAATAGGGCCCAACAAGTAATTTTGACACATGGCACATTTCATTTTTAAACATTTTTGGACGGGCCTTGCCATGTTGGTTGCTCGATCTTTTCTTGCTGGTTTATTGAATAGGGACCTTTGGTACCAATGGTGTAATTAGGGGTGAGTTCGGTTATGACGCTTCGGTTTTCACCCAAAACCAAAGACAAAGTGGAAGGTGAGTTGGCGGTTCTGTTCGGTTTTACATAAAAAAATATGTAAATCGTTGGTTATTCAATTCGGTTTTTATTTCGGTTTTCTTGGTTTCCGGTTTCTAAAAATGAAAATTTATAAGCATTAAAAGATACTCCCTCCGTCCCCCATAGATCTTCCCATTTGCCCTTTTTATTTGTCCCACATAAATCTTCTCATTACCTTTTTTTATAATTAAAATACCACAACTACCCCCACTTTATTTATTACACCTTTTTCCACTTTATTTAATACACCCCACCCATTTTCATTAAGGGTATTTTGGTAAACTTTCACCTTTTTTCAACTCTCCTAAAAAACCGTGAAAAATCAAATTGAGAACATCTTACATGGACGGAGGGAGTAATAAAGTACTAACTCAATGACGTAATAGGTAGGGTTGGCTTCGCTTTTTTAGTTTGTTTTTTACATAAAACCAAAATCGAACGAAAGGTTAGTGTTTTGTTCGATTCAATTTTACATAAAAGATATGTGTCGAGTGTCCAACAAACATTTAGGAGATTCCAAATACTACCAAAAACATCATATGTAAATATCAATTACGGAAAAATTGCATTTTTCGTAGAGTAATTTCATTTCCATTATAACATCAATATTTTTTATGTAAAAATATAAATTACTCGTATTAATTTTTTATGTTAATATAATTCCGTATTAGGATTATTTGTTGATGTTTATATTCTAAGAGTTTTTAAACTTTATAATATGGTTTAAAATGTTTAATTAATAGTTAAAAAAATTTCTTATAATCGACTAGTTAATTATTTGCATTTGTATTACTATAATATTTTACTTATCACATATATTTATATAAATAAAGTGAAGTACCTAAGAAATTTTGGTTTATTCAGTTCGGTTTTTCAAAACAAAAAATAACTAAATATTTTATCACCATAAAAATTAAGAAATATTTAGTAATTATACCTTAATTTATTAAAATTATTGTCTTCTTTTTTTCTCATTCCAATCAACTAAATTAAATATAAATGTAAAGTTCTACATACAGATTGCAGAATATAATATAAAAACACATTACCTAGCCTTTACCTTGTTTAAAATATGACTATTGCCTTACTATTTTAGTTCTATTAGATACTCATTATTTATCTTTGATAGTATAGTAATAAAAAAATAATACAAGTAGCAAATTGAAAAAATGTGATGGCATATGCAAAAGAGAAATTTACTTAAATAGCACTAAAACATAATGACTTTCCCTAAATAGCACATGTGTTTTTCTTCCCAATGTAGCACTTTTAGTCATTATGCATTAGTCATTATTCAAGTAAATATTCGCCAACACAGGACATTATGGACATTATTAAGTGCTATTTAGAGAATAAAACAGTTTAAGTGCTATTTAGGGAAATGACTTAAGTTTTAGTGCTATTTAGTGCAAATATTTCTATGCAAAATGCTATTGAAAATTAAATGGAAGAGTGAAAAAAACACAAATATAATATCTAATACTACAATATTAAATAATATTTTTTAAATAGTTAACCGAGTCATTGACGCTTGGATTGACCAGTTAAATCTTGACTCACTAACTCGTCCGAGTTGACGCTGATCCAATTTTCAAGACATTGGTTTGAGAAGGTAAGTATATATAAACCTTTTACTATAATTTTGTATGTGATTTATTTATTTTGTTACATAGTATTATACGATTATATTAATTGTTATTTAAATATAATTAGCTTATACACTTTAATTTGTTAAGATATTAGGAATAAGACTTTTAGGGTCTCTTTTTCTGTCTCGCCCTAGGCCATTGATATCTCAGGAACGACCCTATGCAAGATGAAAAGGAAGTAAAATGCTTTATTGATATTTGTTCTCGGCTATACACAACGTTTAAATTTTAAGAGCATTCACAGCGGCATGTCAAAGTAATGCCACGCCCTACCACATCAGCAAGTGGAGGCGTGGCGCGAGGCATTGGAGGAGCATTCCACCCCACCTATCGTTCCATCTGAGAGGCATAATTAGTTTTATAATTATTATTTTTATTAATAATTGATATTCTTCGAGTATTTGAAAAGGGATTTCAGAGAATCTTTTCATCTTTTCAAACGAGATTGAAGAGAAGATTTAAAATAGAGGAAGAAGGGGGGCCGATCTAGGGTTTTCGGTGGGGGTGTGGTTCATTCAGACATGAATTTCTGGCGGATGGTTGTGAAATCTAATCCAAAATCGATCTAGTTGACCCGATTGCCAGCTAAGTAACTATGAAAAAATAGATTGCTAATACACTTTTGGCAGTGTAAAATAGAATATACATTGCCAAAATTTACAATACCCATTGGAGATGTTGATTTTATATTTTTTTTCTCTAATTTTATTATGGTGCTCTTTATAATGATTAATTATATTTATAAACAAATTTGGTAGAAAAATCAATGTATTAAAAATACATATTAGATAACTCATTAAATAAAAAAATTAATAGAATAAAAAATAGTGAAATGCTAATGTGGCAAAAATTTTAAAAGTCAGGATTTAGATAATTTTTTGACAGTCTGCAGAAGAGGGTGGAATACTAAAATGCACATATGTTACAATTTGAAAGAGTATTAAGACTCCAAACATTAATTTGACCACTTTTCCAATGTGAAGTATGAGGATAAGCTGAATATATCATTTTATTGAATTTCTTGATTTTTTTTTCTATCTACGTTAACACAAAATATTTCTCTGGAAGTGAAATTTGATCTATACGAGACCCTTTTTTTCATTTGGAATAGAGCCCTAATATATACTCCCTCCGTCCCAAAAAGTCTTTCATGTTTCATTTTTTGCGCATCCTATAAAACACTTCTACCGACATCTAAAATGCCTAAAATTTACAACATTTCTTCTTTATTGTGGGTAAAAGTTATTTTGAAAGTTTTTTTGGCATTCAAGGCGGGATAGAAGTGTTTTATGGGATGCGCAAAAAATGAAACGGGATGTTAAATATGTTAAGCATATTTATTTATATATGTTAAGTATATTCCTTGTATCAATTATAATATATACCATAATTGTATAGGATCCATATATAATATTGTTTCCTTATTGTAAACCCCTCCACTTTGTATATAAAGGGAGGTAGAATCATTGTATTAATCAGAGAAAATAATAATTCTTCATGGTATCGGAGCCAACTCTCGGCTAACCCCGAAACCTTCTCCTTCCCGGCGTTGCTTTCTCTACCGCCACGTCTCTCCCTCTCTCTCACGGCACTTTCTTCCCGCCGGCAGCCCGTCACACCACTCTCTCTCTAAAACAACCCCCCACAACTCTTCTCTATGGCTCCGGAAAAATCAAACACCCCCCATCTTGCTTTCACAACGATCTCTAACGTCAAACTCCAGGTTCCTATTACCCTTAGTTTTTCGGAACCAAACTACAAAAAATGGAGCCGCCTTTTCCTTCTTTTGGTTCGACGTTTCAACCTTGAAGGCTTTCTCACTGGTGAGAAAACCTCAACCGGAAAAGATGACGTCGAATGGCTCCAACTAGACGCCCTTATTCAGGGGTGGATTCTCTCCACCGTCAACGACGAGGTATCAGATCTCATCATCTCTTCCACCACATCCGCTGCAGATCTTTGGAAATCGATTCATAACCTGTTTCACAATAACAAAACGGCAAGAGCCATGCAATTGGAGCAACAATTCTTCAACACCGTCAAAGGAACATCTACTATTGCCACGTATTGTCAGACGCTTCGAAATATTGCCGATTGGCTTGACGATGTCGATGCCCCGGTCAACGAGAATCAACTTGTCTTGCAAACCCTACGTGGCCTCCCGGAGGATCTAAGCAATCAAGCGTCGTTCTTACAGTTTCAAAAACCCCCGCCAACATTCATGGAGACCCGATCAGCCCTCCTTCTTCTCGAGGGACAGCGGCGACCTGCCGCCGGCGAGGGGAGCACAGCGCTGGCAGCACAGGGCGGAGGAGGCCCTCGCGGCCCTGGCTTCGGTGGTCATGGCGGACAGCATCTCGGACTCAGAAGCGGCAGTAATGGACCGTCCCAGGCGTATGGCGGACGGGGACAATCGCACGGAGGCCGCGGTGTACGACCGACTCGCGGTCGAGGTCGAGGACGAAACGGCGGAACTTCCTATCGGCACTTCCCTGGGC